AGGCAAATAAGGATGCTGTATTTTGCCTGCAGTGAGGGGTGCGAAAAGTCAGACTATTATTGTGGCCCTCGGCATGGGCAAAAGGGGAATAAGCTTGGTACGTGGGTTGTAGAAGTACGAGAACAGCAAGATGTCCTGTATGCCACTGCATAGGTGTCCGTGACGGGCTGGCAGGTATAAGCCAGGGGGCTCTCAGGGTGTTCGTCATGGGGGAGGCAGGTTTTAGAGGTTCTGCAGGTTTGAGCCGAGAGATGCGAATCCAGGAGTGGGTTCCCAGGAGCTTAGCTGCAGTGGGGGGTGGCAAGAATAACTTGAAACGGACCTTTCCACTGGGTTGTAAGAGGCCTGTTTGTCCTAGAGGATCTTTAAGCAAAACCAATCACCAGGCTGCAAAGGTTGCAGCTCCTTTAAATCAAAAGGTTGAGGTTGGCCAGGCGCGGTGGCTCACACCTGTAATCCTAGCTCTCTGGGAGGCCGAGGCAGGCAGATTGCTCAAGGTCAGGAGTTCAAAACCAGCCTTAGCAAGAGCGAGACCCCGTCTCTACTATAAATAGAAAGAAATTAATTGGCCAACTAATATATATATATAAAATTAGCCGGGCATGGTGGCGCATGCCTGTAGTCCCAGCTACTCGGGAGGCTGAGGCAGAAGGATTGCTCGAGCCCAGGAGTTTGAGGTTGCTGTGAGCTAGGCTAACGCCATGGCACTCACTCTAGCCTGGGCAACAAAGTGAGACTCTGTCTCAAAAAAAAAAAAAAAAAAGGTTGAGGTTGGGGAAGGTGTGCATTTGCATACTCTCCAAGAAGTTGTGGCCTTAACTCCACTGCTGGGGGTGGGGACATTGAGGTGAAAGATGTTAGGAGGACTGAGTGCCCACACAGCAGCTCAAAGGGACTTAGAAACAAAGGTGCTCAAGGAGAGACAAGGAGTCTTAAGAGAGCATAAGGGAGGAGATTTAGCCGCCAAATGGTAGGATAAAAAGCTCAGTAGGTGCTCATGGCATGGGTGGAGAAAGATTTCTCATGCAGAAATTAAGATATATAAAAGTAAAAATAGTTTATTTTATCATTTTAGAGGAGAAGGGGAGGGAGAGAGAGAGAAAGGGGGAGAGAGAAAGAAGGGAAACGGGCAGAAGAGAGCAGGGAGGCGGCGTGGCATCCCAAAGAAAAAAAAGGGGGGCCAACAAGCAAGCCAAAGGGCCGGCCGAATTTAAAGGGGAAAAAAAAAAAAAAAAAACAAGGAAGGGTGGCAAGTGAGAAACAAAAACCCGGAACAAGGAAGGAAAAAAAAACGCAAAGAAGTCAAAGTCCGAGACTGGGTTTGCCGCCCTTCCTTGGAGGAGGGATTATCACGGGAGATAAACTCTGTCCTTGAGATAGAGTCGAGGCTGTGGCTGGCTCTTCCGCCGTTCACTCAGGAACTCTGTCAAAGCAGATTCTCAAAAAACAATTCTGAAGGAGAGACATGTACATCTCCTCTCCGTCCGTTCAGCTCTCTTCAGAAGTGGTGAAAAACAGAACGGTGGAGTGTCTGTTAGTAAGAGAGCTCGTAGGATTGATCTTCCACCGTTACGGGGGAATGGTGGGATTCGGTATTTTCCTGTCGTTTCTGCAAGGCCGGCCCTCTCAGCCGTTATCACTTTGGGAGAGGAGCTGGGAGCCCAACGCGGGGAATGGGGGAATTATTTCCGGGAGAACTTGGGTGACTTCAGAGGCTCCTTCCGTTTTAGTAGGGGAAGCTTCCAACCAACACGAAAACGTCTGTATCAGAGTCGAAAGTTATTTGTGTCCCTGCAGGAAGAGAAAGCAGGGGGCTTAAGGCGGCCCGAGGGCTGACTTGCCGACACATGGAACAATCCTTAGTAATTTTTAAAATTTTTCTTCTGAGTTCCGGCGATGAAGGAGTGAGGACAGGAGGGTTTTCACAGGTCCACTCCCTGTGTGAACTGAGCTGTGAATGCGGTGGAGGATGGAGTCCTCCTGCTGAGTGGGCAAGACAAATTTCCCTTCATGGAAAAGCCAGGGTCCGTTCCACACAGCCCCTGCTTGTGTGAGTTGGGCAGTTTCTTTAGCAGAGTAGTTTGGGGACAGTGGTTGGAGGGAAGGGGCTTGAGTAGCTGGAAAGGGAAGCATGGCTGCTCGTTTTAGCTTCTTTATCTGCCCAGTCGTTCCCCAGGGCCTCGAGGGACTGTTGCTGTGCCCTGCCGTGCCCTGCAGCTCCTTGCCTGGATAACTGAGCTGCCTGTGTGAGTCGTGTGAGGAAGGTGGCATGTTTGACAGAAGTGCCTTGCGCAGTGAGAAGTCCTCGTTCTTTCCGGGTAGCTGTGTGAGAGTGTAGACTGTGACAGGCATACTTAGAGTCAGTGTAAATGTTAAGTCTTTGATCTTTACCTAATTGTAAGGCCCTAATCAGGGCGATTAGCTCTGCCTTTTGAACAGAGGAGACAGGTGGTAGAGGAGCTCTCTCTAATGTATGAGTAGTAGTGACAATAGCGTGTCCTGCCTTGTGATGGACATCTGGAGCACAGCTACTCCCATCGATGTACCAACTACGATCTGGAGAAGGCAGTGGGGAATCAGAGAGCTCTAGTCTAACTGCAGTGGATGCCTCCAAAATTTCTAAGCAGAAGTGTTCTGGGGGCTCAGGAGAAATGGGAAGCAGGGTAGCAGGGTTTAAGGCCGAACATGGGAGAAGAGTGATGGAAGGGTTATGTATAAGTAGGATTTGGTACTGAGGAAGACGGCCAGAGGTTAGGAAGTAATGAGCTCTGTTGTTTAAGACAAGAACCTGATGAGGGGTAGAAACCTGAGTTGGCTGTCCATAAGTTAGTTTATTAGCTTCTTGGACAAGAAGGGCAGTGGCTGCCAGGGCTCTTAGACACGGTTTCCATCCCTTAGTAGTGTTATCCAAATTCTTCGAGAAAAAAGCAACAGCCGTGGAATCGGGCCCTGACTTTTGTCCTAATACTCCAAAAGCCAGTGGCCCCCGTTCATGTACATACAGACAGAAAGGCTTGTTCGGGTTAGGAAGCTGGAGCAGGGGCTTCTACTAGTGCAGCTTTCAGGCTCTTAAAGGCTTGCAGGAGAGGGGACTTCCAGTCTAAGGGGTCCTGCTTTGGGCCTCGGAGGGCCTCACATAGGGGTTTAGCAATGTGCCCATATTGGGGAATCCATATGCGAAAATAGCTTGTTAACCTCAGGAAAGCTCTAAGATCCCTTTTGGCTGCCGAGGGATCCATAGCGGAAATAAGTTGCTTGCACTGGGTGGTAATAGCTTGCTTTCCTGCAGATAACTGGAACCCCAAGTGACTGTGGGTTGATTAATCTGAGCCTTTCCTGGTGAAACTCCATATCCTTTGTGAGCTAAGTGTGTGAGGAGAGGATAGTGTTATGAAGCGAGTAGAGAGGGCAGGACAGCAAAGGAGGCCATCAGCATACCGGAGCGGTGAGCTGCCGCGTTAGAGAAGGCGCAGACAGGGCCTGGGCTGAAGCCTGTGCAGAGAGGTGGGGCCGTCTCGGAACCCCTGGGGCCAAGAGGTCCAGGAGAGCTGTTGTGAATGGTTTGTGTCAGGACTGTTCCAGGTAAAAGCAAATATGTCTTGGGAGTCAGGAGAGAGAGGTAGAGTGAAGAAGGCATCTTTGAGGTCAAGGACAGCGAAAACCTGTGTGTGGGGTGGTACAGTGCTGAGCAGAGTGTAAGGATTGGGGACCCCTGGACAGAGGCGGATGACGGCTTCGTTCATAATGCACAGGTCCTGGAAGAGGTGGTGGGAGCTGTCAGGCTTCCTCACTGGAAGGACAGGGGTGTTATAGGGAGAGTGGGTGGGGAGGAGGAGACCAGACTGGAGAAACTCAGTAATGAGGGGCTTGGTGATGAGTCACCTAAGGTCATCTAGCTTAAGGGGATATTATTGAGTCCTGCAGGGGAAGTGAGTAGGGTCTTTGAGGGAGATGGAAATGGGGTGTACATATTGTGCCTTTCCTGCTAATGTCCCACACCTTAGGTGGCACCTTTTGAGATGCCTCAATAAGAACAAGGATAGGGAGGCTCTGATAACGCCTTTCCAAAAAACCCAAGGACAGGAACCGGAGAAGTCAAGAGGAGTTGGGTGCTTAATTTAACTCTCCGATCTCTTCCCAGCAGTGGGGTGGGATACCTGGGGAGCGCCAGGAAGGGGTGTGTAAAAACTTGATCTCCCAGGGAGCAAAGCAGCGGAGAAGGGGGGAAGCAAGAAAATTGTGCCCCGGCTCTAAATCAGGCCTGGTGCTGAGCCAATGCTAAACGGGTGAGCGAGTGAATGGGCGAGCAATGGGACAAATGCAATGCCAAGGCAAATGCAGACGAAGCCAACCAATTAGTTTGGGTCCTGGTGTGTGTACATTTATGTGCATTTGTGTGTGCCTAAGTGCATGCATGTGTATGCATGTACGCATGTGAATATGTATGTACGTGTGTTTCAAGGACAGGAGAAGGCCAGGCAGAAGGATCGGGCTGGAAATATAGGCTGCCACATGGAAGTTCTTGAATCCTTGAATTCCAGGCTGGGTTTAAACTTCGTTGGCAGTGAGGAGCCATGGAAGACGCGTGAGCTGGGAAATGGCGGGATAAAAATGGTGTCTGAGCCAGCACAGAAGCAGGGAGTCCTGGAGCGCAGTCCCGGCGAGGCCGTGCAGACAGCCCGGGCTGCCTGGGCGAGCATCCCCCCCCATCCCCCCATGGCAGAGGCTGCTGCTGGTGGAGCACCCTCCCGCCACCCCCACCCCCCGCCTCAATTGCTGGCAACACCAGGAATGTTTTTAGACAAATTTTAAACAGCTCTGCCCCCAGCCAAGATCCTGGGCTGGAATTACTTATTTCCTTAGTGTCTGCTCATCCCTGCCCTTGAGGCCTATAACCTGGATGTCGCAGGGCTCAGGCCCTGAGTACACACGCCGCTCTAGGACAAGGCTGGCGGAGCGCCCGTCAGAGGAGCCGGTCAGAGGGACCAGCAATGGCTGGTCCCTCTAGGGTGAGCAAGACAGCTGCTGCTGACGCCCCTGCCTAGCCTGGGATTCTCCCTTTAAGAATTATTCCTTTGCTTGGCCAACACCCCCAGCACCTTGTCCTTTGCAGGTGGCCATTGCAGGGCAGGCATGGCCTGGAAGAGGTGAGGTGAGGGAGGAGCGCTCTCCCGGAGTTGATGTGCTCCGTCAGCAAGTTATCAGTTTGGTGGGTGCAGGGAGATTATTGCCCCGAGGAGGAAAGAATACAGGACAGGCAAGTTTCAAAGGAAAGGAGGCCTTTGCACCAACATGTCCTCGCTGGGGATGGGGCGGGGCGGGGCGGGGTGAAGAAGGCTGTTTCGGCCAAAAATGGAAGATGGCTATTGAGGGGTTAGGGGGGTAGGTGACCACAGAAGGCAAGACTCCTGCAGGGGTCAGGGAGGTCAAAAGCCAGCAGGAACCTAAGAGTTCAACTGGATTCCTTTTTCTCCATGCCCTGTTGCTTGGCCTGGGCCATAGAAGTGAAAAGAATGAAGAAAACAAATAGTCGCCACCTACCCACCATTTGCCAGGCCCTTACCAAGTAGTTCCTACAATTTTGTTTACTTCTCTTGACAACCCAGTGCCCTTATCCCCAGTTCTCTAGATTAGCTCTGAGAGGTCAAGTAACTTGTTCAGGTTCATGCATTAAGTGGCAGAGTCTGGACTGGGGCCCGGGTACATCTGACTCAAAGCTTGTGCTTTTTCCATTTTTTCATATTGCCTGGAGGAGAGAGTAGAGGATAGTTAGAAAGAAAGGGAGGGAGTAGGGTGTATAGCTCAAGGACAGGGCGGGCCTTTCCTAACAGGGCTGGAAGGTTCTAGAATGCCCCAGAACAAAGCTGTCAGCTGAGAGACTGTTACCATTGGATCACTCACCCTGACACCCCAGTAGTTCTCACTCCCTGTGTGCAAGGTACGAATTCCTCTTTCTGCTCTCAGCCAAAGGGAACCTCAGCTTTTGAGGTGGGGTGGAGAAAGTTCCCTGATGTATGACTCTAGCATCCTGGGCCACACTCAGACATTGCCCTGTTTGTCATGTTCATATGGCAGTGGGGAGGGATCAGGAGTGGCCAAGATGTAGGACCAGACCCCGCCTCCAGGAGGAGGAAGGGGGAGGACAGACCCACTGCTGGGGCTGTGACAGGGGCCGACCTGCCTTCTGGGCTTACAAGAGGCACTGGTGACTGTGGGCACAGATGGCGGTGGTGGTGCTGTGCAGCCAGTGACATCAGGGGCTCTAGCACAAGGTCATCAGAGTCCTGAGGGATGAAGTGCATGGCGAGAAAGGGAGCAGTGGCCTCCAGAATGTGGAGGTTCAGGTGGGCTGACAGGAGGATGGCAGCCAGCATTAGGACGCGTCATCTGGATTCTGGGAAGGGGGTTGGCATGTACAAAGCAGGGGAGGGAGGAGCTGGGTACTGCAGAGGTCCCAGTATCTGGGCCGGGCAGGGATCTTATTGCAGGAATGAGGGAAGAAGGTGGAGCTGGGTCTCAGGAGAAAGGCAGGGACAAGGAGCAGACCCAAGAGGCTTGTGCAGAGGTTATACCGGAGGTGTTTGATGAGTCCCAGCCACCTAGAGAGGGCTGGGCTAGTGCCACGGCCCCACCTGGGGCAGAAGGGCCAGCAGAGCCCAAGAACTGGTAGACCTCGTCAGACAGGACATGGGGCTTTAGCAAGCTGGTGTTTGGGGGCCCACATTGTGATTTATTACTTAGGGTGTCTAGGTTCTACAAGGACCTAGGGAGCCCCAGGGACTTGTGAATATTAATTCCAGAAACTAAATTTCTGTTAACAGAAGGGAGAATCTCCCTAACTTTCATTTGTCCTAATGGAGACACATGCTTGCTGGTTTCTCTATTTTTTAAAAGACAAATAAACGTAATGCATTCCTTTTCTGCATCCATCTTGAGTCATTCCTTGCCTAAGAGGGGGCTTAGGATCAGTGTTTATTTAGTTTATGCCATCCGCATGCATTGGTGGTTTAAAGCCAGAACAGACCCAGCTCTCCATTTTACTGATGAGGAAACTGAGGCCCAGAGGGATTTCCCTAAGGTCCAGTGGCTCAGGAGAGAGAGGACAGAGTCCCAGCACTAACGCCAGGCCATTGCTCCCTCTCCCCTGCGCCCCCACCCGCATGGACTTGCCATGGTAACTAAGGCTCCTCCAGTGTGGGAAGCCGTTGCCTGGCAACTCCCCATAACCAGGTCAGAGCCTGGGGAGTGAGATGCCACTCGATGCCCACCCTGGGGAATTCAGATGTGTATAAATGGGATGGGCCACGTCACAACGCGGCCACTAATGACCTTGCATAGAGCCATGCCTGGAAGGCCCTGTGGGGGAGAATCTCACGCCAGGATCAGAGAGTCGCTGGGACTGTGGCACAGCCCCGAGCTGGTGGAGACACAGAGCCCCACTATGTACAGGGCCGATGGCTTTGAACAGCATGGAACCTGTCCCCATGGATTTGCTGGCTCAGTGTGGATGTGGGGTCCACAGGGGAAGGTTGATGGATGGGGCTGTGTGTGTGTGTGCAAGAGTGTGTGAGTGCATGTCAGTGCATGTGAGTGTATGTGCGTGTATGTGTGTGTGTGACAGCGTGTGTATATCAGTGTATGTGTGTGTGAGTGTACGTGCGTGTGTATGTGTATGTGTGTGTGTGCGTGCGTAGGCATTTCACCTTACTCCAGGAAAGCTGGGGAGCTGTGCTCCCTTGTGCTACCTTCTTGTTCCATAATTATCTCTAGAAATGTTTAGGAAATGACCTGCTTGTAGAATAAATGACTCTTCCCCTAACACTCCCTGTACGTGGGGTCTTGACAGCCGTCCCCACCACCACTCCCCAAGTCGGCTTCTTCCTGTGGGCAGACCCCGCCTGGGGCCCCAGCTGCTGCCTCCTGCCCGGGCCTACCAGCCAGGTCTGGCGGGCTCATCCTCTTGGAAATGGTCAGTCTAGGAAGGCCGTGGTCCAGCCTGGCCCCTGGGGTCTGAGGAATGGCTGCCGAAGGACTCCTGGGCAAGGTGTCCCTCACTAATTAAAACCGGGAGGGACCGCACCCCTTCTGCACCGGACGTCGCCGTGTGTGCGCGTGGTGTCGGGAGGCGTCACACTGGTGCAGGCCTGGAGCGCCCGGCCTCTGCATTCTCGTGGTGAGAGATTGGAAGCCCCTTTTTGTTTGGGATACTTTTGGTCGGGCCCCTATTTTCTGGCTGCAGACTCAATGACTTTCCACTCTTCTGAGTGGGCCACTGGGTAGACGCCTGGCCACGTCCTGGTATTAATGGTAAAGGACCCAAAGGAGAACAAGGTGCCTCTTACTGAGTAAATCAAAGACATGATCCTGGATCCTCCATCTCCTGGCAGGGAACTGAAATGGGACCCGCGGCCTCAGTCCCAGCTTCTTGCAGGTCTGAATAGGCTGCTCCCGAAGGAGCCCAGGGCTGCTCTCGCAGCCCGGCGTCTGGCACATCCATTCATGCGCTCGTTCGTGCGGCGGCGTCTGGAGCCGACTCCTGTCTGCTCGTGACAGCCGATTGTGCACGTCTCTTCCCACCTCTGAGTTCAGTGATGTCACGTTGGTAGCTTGAAATCAGCCATGGTGGGAGTTGTTCTTTTTAAAGTAGACTGTTTTTGTTTTGTTTTGTTTTGTTTTTACGGCAGTTTTAGGTTCACAGCGAAATGGAGCAGAAGGTACAGGGAGCTCTCATACGCTCCCTGTCCCCACACATGTGTAGCTTCCGCCACTGTCCACATCTTCCAGCATGGTGATGCATTCGTTACAATTGTTGGAACTGCACTGACACACCATCATCACCCGAAGTGCATAGTTTGCATTGGGGTTCACTTTGGTGCACATTCGACAGTTTTGAAAAATGTATAATGACACGTGTCTGCTGGGGTGGTAGCACAGAGAGCAGTGTCCCTGCCCTAGAATCCTCTGCCTCTGCCTAGTCACCCCTCACTCTCGACTAACCCTCAGCAACCTTTGGTCCTTTCACCGTCTCTCTAGCCCTCCCTTTTCCAGCCTGTCATCTAGCTGGAATCAGACATGCTTAAGTTTCCTCCACATCTTTTCATGGCTTGCCAGCTCCTCTCTCTTCAGTGCTGAGTAGTACTCTGTTGTTTGGATGCACCAGTTTATTTATCCATTCATCCACTGAAGGACGTCTGGGTTGTTTCCAAGTTTGGGCAGTTACAGACAAAGCTGCTATCAACATCCGTGTGCAGGTTTTTGTGTGGATATAAGTTTTCCACTCCTTTGGGTAAATAATAAGGAATGTGATTGTTGGATCGTATGGTAAGAGTAGGTTCAGTTTTGTAAGAAACCACCAAACTGTCTTCCAAAGTGGCTGTACCATTTTGCGTTCCCACCAGCAATGAATGAATTCCTGTTCCACATTTTTACCAGCATCTGTGCTGTCGGTGTTTTGGATTTTGGGCATTCCAGTAGGTGTGCCCATGATATCCCATTGTTTTAATGTGCAATTCCCTAACAACGTATGGGGATCATCTTTTCCTATCCTTACTTGCCATCTGTGCCTTTTCCAGTGAGGTGTCTGTTCATGTCTTTTGCCCATGGAAAAAAAAATCAGGTTGTTCATTTTCTTATTGTTGAATTTTGAGAGTTCTTTGTATGTTTTGGATAAGAGTCCTTTATCAGATATGTCTTTTGCAAATATTTCCTCCCAGTCTGTGGCTTGTCTTCTTAGTCTCTCGACACATGGTGGGAGTATTTACACCATGGAATTGGCCAGTGCTACCTACAAATTTGGCTTTCTCTCAGAGAGCCGATTGTTAACCCTTCACCAGCACAGCATCGTGTTCATGCGGCAACCATTTGTTGAGCGAACTGCTCGCCTTTGTTCTCAAAAATCTTAAGTCTAGTGGGGAAAACAGATCAATGAAGCCCTGACGGTAGCACAGTGTTCTGAGCATTGGGGTAGAGGCAGAACGAGGCACTACAGGAACATAAAGAGGGGGTGTATGTGTCGGCCTCAATGTTGAGATGATTTCCCAGTGGAGACCCTGAGCCCTGAGCTAAGTGTTTGGAAGTGACAGTTGCCCGGACCCATACGCCCAGTGAGGTAGCCGCTTGCCACACGTGGCTGTTTCACTCACATGCACTGGCCACATTTCAAGTGTTCAAGAGCCATGTGTGGCCGGTGCCTACCACATTGGACAGAGCAGACATAGAACTTTTGCATCATTGCAGAAAGTCCTATAATACAGCGTGGGTCTAGACAAAAAAGAGGGAGAAAGGCATTCCAGGCCAAAGGAACAGAATTTGGGAAGCTCAGAGGTCTGAGACAACACAACTGAGTCTGGGGACCACAAATAGTTCTGTGGTACTTAAGTGAGAGAATCTGGGAGTGGAGAGGTGGGAAGACAAACAGGCAGCTGTCAGATCACAAAAGGCCTTTAATGTGAACCTAAGGAGGTTAAACTCCAGCCTGAAAGCTATGGAAAGTTCCTAGAGGACTTGAGCAGAAGCCTGATGTCATCAACTTGCATGTTCACAAGATCTCTCTGGCAGAAGAGGCTGGATTGGGGGGGGGGAGCTAGCCACGATGCAGGGAGACTATGGCAGTCACCTGGGAGAGAATTGAGAGAGGTTTGACATAAGGCAGTGGCCGTGGCATGGACACAGAGAGGATAGAACTGAGAGACGCGAAGGACCCAGTGACTGATTGTGTCTGACCCCTAAGGAGGTGCTTTGTAAACATTTGTTGATTTAGTGGATGAATTATAGCTGCGCCCAGACTGTACAACTGGGCGCACATGCGTGTGGCCCTGGGTGGCACCTACTGCACAAATGGAGAGGCGCCGGGCACTTCTTTTCAGCTGAAGGAGAAAGGGGCGGCAGAGAGAGAGGAGAGACGGAGGGAAGGGTTGGCAGCCTTGTCCTGTCTGACGGGGAGAGAGGCCAGGTGAGAAGGGAACAAGCTGTGTTCATGGAGGACTGTGAGGGACCCTGGGCCCAAGCAGGGCCTCTCAGAATAGGCCACCCTCCACCACACCCATTGCCCAGCCGCCATGCCGCATGGACTACAGGGAAGATTTGGCACCTGAGGGATCAGGACACTTCACCCGAAGACAAGTGCGATGCACAGCGGATCCGCGGCATCGGGGAAGGCGACGTCAGCAGAGGACGTGTTCTGTGGGGCAACAGACCACAACCCGAGTAGGAAGCCTGAGCAGACTAGTGCCTGAGCACATGGGCTCTCTTGGGCTCTCCGAGGTCACTGGAGGAGAATCTGAGGACAGTGGCTAAAGCTGCTGTAACTTGGGCATAACGTTAATATGACCTTGTTTGCTTCTACAGGTCTGGAAGGCCTGAGATATCTGGGTTATGGGTGGGATGAGGCAGGTCCACTTGCCCATCCATTGGACAAATGTCTGTGGAGCCTCTGTGTGGCATGCACGCTGCCGGATGCTGGGCATGCAACGGTTCACAAAACAGGGATGATCCCGCCCCACGGAGCTCACAGTCTGCGTATGTGCGGGACAGGCATTCCAGGCACTGGGGATAGCAGGTGGAAAGATTTGGGGACAAATCCGTGGCCACCTGGAGGTTCAAAGGTCAGTGGGGCAGCATCGTGAAAGCAAGTAGGGGTGCTGGGGAGGGGCAGAAGAGGAGGCTGGAGAGAGGCAGGGGCCAGGCCTCACAGGGCCACATTGGGATTTCAAATTTAAGCCTAACTCCAATGGGAAGGGGAGTGATGTGATCAGACTGATTTTTGCCAAAACTGCCCTAGGGTCTGTGTGGAGAATGAATTTGGGGGCAAAGGGGCAGGGAGGAAAGTATGGGCGCTAAGACAGTTTCCAAAGGCAGAGATGATGGTGGCATGGCTGTGGTGATGGAGTGAATGGAGGAACTTGAGAAGTATTTTTTTTTAAAGAATTGAGACAAGCCAGGTGCGGCAGCTCACACCTGTAATCTTGCACCCTGAGAGGCTGAGGCGGGAGGATCGCTTGAGCTCAGGAGTTCAGCTTGAGCAAGAGCAAGACCCTGTCTCTACTAAAAATTGAAAAATTAGCTGGGCATGGTGGCGTACACCTGTAGTCCCAGCTGCTCAGTAGGCTGAGGCAGGAGGATCACTTGAGCCCAGGAGTTTGAGGTTGCAGTGAGCTATGATGACACCACTGTACTCTACCCTGGGGCAACAGAATGAGACTCTGTTTCAAAAAAAAAAAAAAGAATTGAGACAATAAAGGCTTTTCTCACACCCTTGCCTTGGAACAGACAGGCTGAAATGTTGACTTTAGACAAGGCAAACAGCAAGTATTTCGACCATGACCATGCCATCTGTCCCCAGTATGGGCCGTTGTGCTGTAGGTTAGCTGAGAGCTAATGCTGTCACGCAGGCCCATTCTCCTGCCTTAGCCAGGGCCACATCCAGTGGGGGTCAGTTTTATATTTAAAGGTTTCCTGAGAAAGCTTTCACAGCTTCTTCTAAAACCTCTGCTCGTGTTTAAAATAATAATTATTAGGAGATTCCTGTTCATATTTCATGTGAATGCCTCTTGCTTTAAAGTGTTTCGATTGCTGATGAAGATGAAGATGCTAAAATAATACGAACGATGTCATAATGACAGTTCCGAATTGCATGTGTTCCAAAGCAAAGAAAAACAACTGCATATCCCCAGAAAAAGAATTGAATTAGATTTTTGTTGCTGTTGAGCTTACTGCTAAGTTCCTTGCCCTTGCTACCGAGAGTGTGGACCCCACAAGAGCACCTGGTAGCTTGTTAGAAATTCAGGACTGAATTGGAATCTGCATTTTAACACGGTCTCCATCTCCAGGCAATTCCAGGCAATTCATAGGCACTTTAAATTTTGAGCAGCATCACCTTAGATCGCCCTCAGGCCACCGAAAAGTGGGAGGGCAGTGGCAGGTGCAGACATTTGAAATGCAGTGTGCCCCAGCAGGCGGCCAGGAAAACCCAACTGGTCCAACAGGAACTGGCTTTTCTCTGGAAGTTGCCTGCTGCCAAGTCACGTAGAGCATTGCAGGCAAACGCAGGGACAATGTGTTGGCTGCTGGTTGTAGGGCTGGTGAGAGGCGCTGAAATGCTGCCAGGGAGAAAGTGGGGTTCGGGGGGCACCCGGCAAGTTGCTCCCCTGGGCAGCACCAGGGGCTGAGGAGCGTGACCTCCCCCTCTCCCTCCAGGTGGACAGTTTAGTCCTCATCCTCTTATCCAGGTGCCCTAGAGCCCACGTTCTCCATGGGTGGTCTGGGTGACTGTATTGCTTCCTTCTGCATTGAGACACGCTGATGAGCAGGGCAAGGCAGTTTTAGTGTCTCGATAAAAATACTCCCACACACTCCCATAGTAGCCTTTGCTAGAACAGAACACGCAGTTCCGGGGCTTCCGAAACTGCTAACAACGCCCGCATGGTCAGCCCAGCCCTTCCAGGCCGGTGACCCCTGCCCCCCCCCACGCCTCCACCCCCCTCCCCCACCCGAGGGGCGTGCAACAGAGATACCACACACAGCCCAGCAAAACAAGGACACCTGTTTTATTTCTGCTTTCTTGAGAAGTGTTTCAAGGCACAAAATCTAGTCCAGAGTTGAATCATGTCCCTTTGTCTGACTGGGGCTGGTCCTCCCTCCGGGTCAGACAAGCGGATGAGATTTGTGGGTTGCTTAAAGCATACGGTTTGTAGATACTGTGAAATCAAACATGGCTTTCAGCTTTCATTTACTATCCCAGTTCACGGTGCCCAGCCCCGAATAGCTTATGAGGTCGCCTCGGCCTTTGCTCTTTCTCCTTGTGCTTTTCATTCTCCTGCTTCTTTGCTCCCTGCCTTCCTTCCATGGCTGCAGATTCTCCTTTGCCCACCTGCCCGCCCCACTCCTGTGTTCTGCCTGCCACTGGCTGTCACCCTGCACTCCCGCTGGCCCACTTCACCTCTGGCTCCCGTTCCTCCCTCCGAGCTGTCCGGCTGTTCCTCTCCTGTGTTCACTCCCAAGGCTGCAGATGCACCTCACTCCTGCTCCGCTCCCGCCTCTCTCAGACCATTGTTTTTTCCCTCCCAGCACCCGCCAGGGGCCCTGTCCCGCTCCTGGCTCCTCGCTCCTTCTCTAAAGGGAACACGGGGATCAGAGGACCATAGATTCAGAGTCACAAGGGACACAGCTTATGCGACACTGGCAGTTACTTATGAGTCAGAAACTCATTCTTCTTCTCTTATCACCTTCAACAATGGCTGCTCCCCAGTCTCTCCTCAGAGCGGGAAGGGCTGGGGAAGAGAACACCCCACCCAGGCTCCCTCACCAACCCTTTCACTCCAACCCTTTCTTTCCCGTCTCAGCACACGTGCACACACATGCATGCACACAGAGGTCACACCCACCCACACACATGTGCACACACACACACGTGCACACACACGCGCACACACACACTCCCTCTAGGTGCCCTCTGTGCAGACGCGTTTGCTTGTAGGCTCCACTAAGGCCCTGACCTTCCTCTGCAGTGTCTCTTCTCCCCAGCCAGGCTGGGAGCCCTAGGACACAGGATTCTGGTTTGAGGTGACCAGGAGGGACAGTGGTGGTGGGACGGCTCTTCTCCCCAGGTGCAGCTCTCGGGGGGAGGCCAGCAGTGGGTCAGCTCAAACATGATGCTCATTTCAAAGCCAGCTTTCCGCCCGGGCCCTGTTCAATCCATCAATCAATAGCCGATGCTCTTGTTAAGTGGGCTTCTCTCCGTGCCACTGGGCAGGGCCTCTTCCACTCACAGAAAATCAAGAGGGAAAACAAACAGAGCCCTGAAAACACACCCTCGCAACCATCAAACAATGACTCTAAACTTTGGCATTCTCGGCGGGCTTCCCCAGCACTTTGCAGAATCTAGGATGCTACTTTGCTCGCAGCTGGGGAGCGGAGCTTGCATCTGAGTAGCCACTGGGGGGCTGTGCAAGCCCCTCGATTTCCCAGTGCCGGGCTCCTCACAGCGCATCCACTTCTCCGTGTTGGAGACACTCTCTCCTGTCAGCCGCAGGGAACATTCATTTGAGGGACATGAAAGCCTCGGCGCATCGACTAGGAGGCTGGCCCTGCCCAGGCTGTCTCCAGCACTGCGCCGCCCCAGCCTGCTCCCAGCGCAGACTTGCTCCGCTGCCTGCGGCGCTGGGTCGGCACCTCGGCTCTCAAAGCAGCAGTGCCCGCCCCTGGAGAGCAGCAGCAGAGCCGCCCTGCACACCCTCCAGGGCAGCGGAGCTTGCAGGTGAGCCAGAGCCTGCCCCATCAAGCCCGACTCCACCCTGCTGCTCTGCGTCCAACGCCGGGTGTGGTCTCGGCTTAGCTGCTCTCCGTGAAAATACCCAAGGCAAGGAGGAAGCGGTGTGAGCTCAAGGACAGGGGAATTTCCATTTCATTTCCCTGCAACTCCCTCCCCCCACTGCCTTCCGCACACCCCAGGGGGAACAGACAAACAAGTATGAATATCATTCTCCACCCAAGCTCCTGTTCATTTCAACTAATTAGCCAACCCAGTTGCCAATAAATTACTATTATAAAACATTGTGTGTGTACATAGGCATACATAGACCTATGTATGTATATGTAGTCATGCAGTCCAGCCTTTTTTCCTTGTCCCCTCTCTTGTGGGAAGCTTCAGACAAAAAGTCTCTGGCCCCTGAAGGGCTCACCGCGTCATGGGTGCCACATAGTTGGCAGGGAAGAGGCCCAGTTTGTTGTGCAGTCGGCCGGTCCACCAGGACGGGTTGGAGCTATCCAGCACCTCGACCACCTCTCCGCTGTGGAATCCCAGCTCGTCATCCTCCAGGGCCTCGAAGTCGTAGAGAGCCCGAGCCCACCGCACGCGCTGTGGGGGAAGCACAGGGAGCTCAGCTGAGCCGGGCCGGCCGAGCTCTCCTCGCAGCGGAGGGTCTGCTGGCTCCTGGCCGAGGCCGCATCCTCCCAGAGCCCGGGGCTGACCTGCTGCAACCGAAAGCCCATAGGAGACACAGCCCTGAGCATGGGCCTCGGGACTGTTATCGACAGAGATGCTATTGTCCAAGGCCCCTAGAGAGCCCTTGGGAATTACTCTCTGCACATCAGAAGATGGTGTTTTCATGTCTTCAGGTGACAAACTGAATGGCAACACGCCCAGAATAATGTCCCCCCGTGTTAGTGCGACAGAGTCACATGTGAAGATGGACCGTGGTGATAAAGGCAGCAATAAAGAACTGCCACAAAGATGACAAAGACCAGAGCCAAGAACGGTGACAGCAGGGAAGGCCCGATGGCCAGACTGGGAGCAGCAGACTGCATGGGGCTGCTGGGATGGGCTCACCCAGACCTCCCCACACCGCCACGATCCGGGTGCCCCCCTGCGAGTTTGAGCTCTGTGCCGTTCAGGTCTCTCCTGCCCTGCCTCCTCCATTGAACTCAGTCCCTCAGCCTTCCCCCGGGGCACCTGGAGAGGGACAGTGCACCTACCCCTGCCGCTTGCAGCTGCACCGGGTCCGTGTGCCTGCGGTGCATGAGGGCCGCGTTCATTTCGCTGCCCAGGCCGGTGCCACAGTGCCCGTCGTTTATGTCGAGGCTGCCTCCACGGCGCTCCTAGAAACAGAGGCAGCAGAGGACCCGTCACCCCGCTGCCAGGCTCCCCAGGCTCCTGCTCGGATGCCATCCGCACAGCCAGTATCCCAGGGATACTTGCTGCTCGCTGACGATGGCAGTAGACCCTCGATGACGGGGAGGGGGAAGGAGGACCACGGGGCCTTAGACTCTGAAGGCAAAGAAGGCAAATGCGGGTTTCACTTATTCAACCAAGAAATATTTAGCAGGCTGCGACCCTCCGTCCAGGCACTAGGAACATAAAGCTTCAAAGAGAAGGTCCCTGGCTTTGGGGCGCTTCTGTTCAGAGGTGGCACCGTGCACACGTAAGTGGTAGGTGAGCAGGGAGAAGAGCGTCTAAGTCTGCCGGGGTAAGTCAGAGAAGGCTTCCTAGAAGAGGTGGTGCTTGCACTCCAGCTTAAAAGAGGAGCAGGACTGGCCAGGGAAGGGCACTCGAGGCAGAGGGATCAGCACGTAAGCAGCTGCAGAGGCATGAGAGAAAGTGAAATGGACCATTCAGGTAACTAAAGGTTATGCAGGGTCCCCAGTGTGTGTTTGCTGGGGAGTAGGGGGTGGGGGCAGGAGGTGAGGCTGGGGAAATAGATGCGGCAGCTCACAATGGCCTTTGTGTGCCCTGCTAAGGAATGTAGGAACGATGTTATCTGTCTGTATTGTCCCTCTCGGTAGGCCGCCTGAAATCCCATCTGGACCAAGGTGGAGGATAAATAAATAAATAAATAAGCAAGGCTCCACGGCAGGCATTAATCCTTTCTTCCTGTGGATCTCGACATCCAGATGGGTTAAGGGGCAGGAATAGATTTAGGATTGTGCAGGTAGGAAAATGGAGCAATTGCTCACTGAGTCCTCAGGGTACGAGAGAGAGAGTGTGTGTGTGTGTGTGTGTGTGTGTGTATTCAGGCAGGGAGCCATTCAGTTCGCAGAGGCTTCTTTGCCAAGAGCAGTTTCCATATTTCTGCCACGTGGGGAGCCCAGGATCTTCTTCGCGGACTCTGTGAGACCTGAGGAGCCTCGGCCAGGCCTGGGGGAGGGCAGGTCCTCCTTCCCACCCTCTCGTGCCCACTGATACCTGGTGAAAGTGGGGGTGCTGCAGGTAGCGCTGCTGGGGCGGCTGCAGCGCCAGGGCGCACTGGAGGGGCGCCTGCTGGGGCTGCTGGTGCTGCGGGGGCAGGGCCGGCGGGTGGTCCGACAGCTTGCGGTTCATGGAGGGCCGCATTTCCTCTCCCACCGCCCCACTGAGGTGGGGGCCTCCCTGGGGCCTCCGGTCCAGGCTGTTGCCTCGGCGACCCTGGGAGAGAGAACAGAGATGCTTCCTGGATCTTCTGGCCCTACCCGCCCCCTGCAGTTGCTCCTGGACTTTGCTCACCATGGCTCTCATTCACCTTAAAGAGAATGGATGGTTCAGACCTTCGCATTCCCAAAAGTGGCCTCTCCGTTCTCAGATTCTCCCAGCGTTAGGAGTTCAGGTGTCTGGTTCACAGACACACTTTCCACGCAGTACCCATTAATCCATTCCTAGTGGGCTTGTGTGTTTTTCTGTGTAATCAAGCTTAAATGTTCCATTTTACTGACACAATGCCACCTCTTCTTATCACATGTTGCCACTCTGCTGGGCATTCTACCCTCCAGATAAGCTCTGCTGTTGACTTTGCATGATTTTGAACTGTCATTTATAGCCTGGTGACAGAGACCCAAACAGCAACGCTCCCATGGCACCATGGAAACCAGGCCTGCTGCTGGGCATGCTGGGAAGGAGCAAGGCCTTTCTGCTTAATGTTATAACAACCTCAGGCATCAGAAATACTTTATTGTTATTTTTGACAAACAATTACACAGGGCCCATGGGCTTAGTATATTCCAGGCACTGTTCTAAGCACTTACAAATATTAACTCATTTAATCCAGTTTATGCAATTTTATATTGCCTCTCTTATCTCTGAACACACATCCTAGTAAGTTAATCTCTCTGTTTCCTGGTTAAAATAATTCACATGATCTTGGTTAACCTTTGTTTTCCTTTCTGAACTTTTGTGTGCACTTGGCAGGGACACCGTTTTCTCCTTGGACAGTAACTTCTCAGGCTTAAAAGCAACCAAGGGCTTGAAAGGCAGGGTTTTCTGTCCTTCCCCAAAGCACGTGTTGCTTGCGCAGTCCTGGTGCCTTTTCAAATAACCTGTCCCTAGGATTTCAACTATTCTTGTGAATGCTTATTCTTATAATACCTGTCTCTCATAACCATGCTATTTCCTTTGGAAAATAGTTATAAATTGCGTGTTTGTATGTGTGTGTGTGTGTGTATTTATTTATAGGAGGCAAGTTAACATTTCTTTAGTGCAAACTATGGGCCAGGCTCTGTGGCCATGCTTAGCTATATTATCTCATTTAATCCTCACAATGGCCCAGTGAGGGAGGTATTATTCTTCTCTCCATTCTACAGATGAGAAAACTGATACTCAGGAAGGTTTCTTAACATGCCTAGGTAATAGAGGTAGTTGAGTGATTAAATCAGGATTCAATGCCAGGTCTGTCTGATGCATTTTCTAGTAAAACAATAGTCTCTGATCCAAACAGTTCCAAGAGCAAGAATTCCAGGCACAGTTTTCTTTTCCCATGTCCCCCCCCACACACACTCCTGCCCCAGTCCATTCACAAAACTCCACCTGCTGCTTTAGTTCTGGACTCTGGGCTGCTCCCTAACATTCCTGTCTATAGCCCCCCGATTCCTTCATCCTTGGTCAACCCCCAGGCTAGGCTGAAAACTAGGATATAGCAATGTCTATGAATAACAAGACAATGGCATCCACACCAGGAGCTAATATTTGGGTTTTTTTGAGACAGAGTCTCACTCTGTTGCCTGGGCTAGAGTGCTGTGGCATCAGCCTAGCTCACAGCAACCTCAAACTCCTGGGCTCAAGCAATCCTTCTGCCTCGGCCTCCCGAGTAGCTGGGACTACCATGCTGCACCACCATGCCTGGCTAATTTTTTTTATATATTTTTAGTTGGCCAATTAGTTTCTTTCTATTTTTAGTAGAGACAGGCTGGTTTCGTACTCCTGACCTTGAGCCATTCTCCCGCCTCAGCCTCCCAGAGTGCTAGGATTACAGGCGTGAGCCACCACGCCCCGCCAAGAGCTAATATTTGTTGAGTGATCAGGAATGATGGAAGGGATGAGAATGTATTATCCTCTCCAACCTTCACAACCTCCCTGTGAGGTAGATATCACCATTACCCCCATTTTATGGATGAGGAAACTGAGGATGGGAGGACTTTCCAAAGTCACATAGCTAGGACATGTTAAGCTGGGGTTTAAACTGCGATCGGACTTCAGAGTTACTCTGCTTTCAGGATGCTCAGAGGATCTGCCCATCAGATGCATTTTCTTGGTGGTTCACATGGAAACTCGAGCTGCCTAAATCTCTAGATTGGGGTTGATCGGGACCTGGAGCATACCTGATCTTCTCGGGTTCTGTCCCTCAGGAAGATCTGCTTCTGTTTGGAGATGGATGTCGTCCTGTAGTAGTCCACCAGCTTATTTAGGGATGGGAACTTCTCAGTCCACAGGAAGTAATTGCCCTTGTTGTCTCGCATGACCTTGAAGTGCTGAACGTCATCCTCGTGCCTGGAGACCAAGGCAAACCCAGATTGCATGTTACATGGTGACGATGGCCCCCGCTCCAGGCTGCTTGCATCTAGAGATGGTGGAGTTCTGTCTGGGCAGGAAACGTGGACCTGGATCACTCATCACTGGGCAGGTGGGCTGGCCCAGCCAAGCTTTGGTGAGAGGTTTGTAGGACAGACCACTTAGGACACAGGCTACACTAGATTTTTATATCAGCCCAAGGTAATCAGATAAGCTGGAATCTGTCCTGAACACTGGAACCAACCTTTCACAGGAAAGAAATGTTCCAGTGCCTTAAAGACTAAGAGATCAAAGTCCTTTTCACAATGTTCATTTGAAACATGGCAACACCCAAGTCCTGTACTGTGTTAAGCAGTGGTCCCCAATCTTTTTGACACCAGGGACCAGTTTCATGGAAGACAGTTTTTTCCATCGACCAGGGGTTGGGGAGGGCACATCACCACCATGGCTCCACCTCAGATCATCAGGCATTGGACTCTGATGGGGATTCTGATGGGGAGGTGCAATCTGGATCCCTTGGGCACGCTGTTTGCAGAGGGGTTTACGCTCCTATGAGGGTCTCATGCCAATGCTGATCTGGGGGGGGGGCGGGGCTCGGGCAGGGATGGGAGCAACGGGGAACGGCTGTGGGTGCAGGTGGGGCTTTGCTCCCTCATCACCGCTCACCTCCTGCTGTGTGGCCCCGTTCCTGGTACTGGTCCAAGGCCCAGGGGTTGGGGGACCGCAGGTGTTAAGGACTCAGCAGCAGAGGGGGTTTTTCAAGCCCCATTATCTTTCTGTTAGAAATACTTTGAACCGTCTCCTTTAAACTACAACCATAAACTAGCACTGGCAGGTAAGAAGCTACTTGCTTCCCTAATAAAACTGTCATGTTTATTCATAATGTTTATACATAATGAGGATTTCTTGATCTTGGTTTACATTTTGCATAAATAAGGTTACAAAGTATTTTGAATTTGGGTGGAAAAGCATTGTATAGAATCGTAGAGTTTTATTGGAAAGGATCTTGGAGACTGGGTAGTCTTACTTCTCCATTTTACAGATGAGGATGCTGAGACCCAGAGAGGTGCAGGGGTTGGTCAAGGTCACAGTGAGAGAGTGGCAGGGTTGGGGCAGGGACCTTGGGTCTCTGATTCCAGTCCAGTGAGCTTGTCACACCATGTAAACATGCTATCTTGTTTTTGATTAGCACCTTTTGATACCAGCCTGGACTCACAAGTGAGGGGGCACATTCATACCAGGGCTGGAGAAATTGGATTTTATCCATCTGGGAAGAGTTGGCTCAGCCTTTGCTATTAGACCAGTATTACTCCATTGCCAAGTCATTCTCTTTTGGATATCAAGTTTATTTTTCAAACGGACATACATTTCTATCTAGAAATAAACTGGCACTAATGATACCAATTGCCTGATCTAGCAGAAAAAAAGGTCAAGAATTTAAAGGGTCTTAGAGAATAAAGATACCCCTGAAGGTAAGTGGAGGTTTTTAGGGATGGATTTAGGGATCTGTGTTCAGAAAGGGACAGAAATTCTGACCCTCAGTCTCATCCTACGTGTTGGGCTATACTCGTAGCTGGGTGAGGCTAAAGGTTGTGCAGTAACCTCTTGCTTGATTGATCTGGGGTAGTAATTAAAACATTGCATTCACTGCATGGTCTTCCCCTTTGCTTTTGGCCACTAACAGATACTTTCTTCACTCTAAGGCTCCATGGCTCAACTCATAGTCTGGGTGAGGAGGAGGAAATTGTCTTGTGATATTACAATTATTCATCCATCACTTCATCGTCAAAGAACTTAGAGTGTGAAACATTATCCATTTCCCTTTTGTAAGTTGCTAGGTCGAATGTCAGGGTTGCCATTGGTCATCTTGGTCTATGGAGGGAAAACAGCCTGACCACTGCCTCAAGTCATAAGAGGGACAAGAAAAGGATGTAACTCAGGACTCTAGACTCCAAGTTCTAGTGTTTTAGATGCTTACCAAATGCTAAGTTATAGGGCTACAATTAGCTCTTAATTCTCTATGCCCATGACAGAAAATAGATGTGCAAATAAATAAAAATGATTTTGCTTTGGAGTATACAATACTACATTTCTGCAGAAGATGTGACAGTGAGTATGGTAATCATCGCCGCAACAAGACGGTGCATCGCCTCAATATCAGGGAAGACTTTGCAGAAGTCAAGGCTGACTGTTTTGTAGAATTCACTCTAATAAAGGAGATATAAACCACAATTCCTACCTGAAAAAGCCAGAGTGCTCTTCATGCAAACCAAAGACACCAAGAGATGCCTTTCAATCTAACAATTTACTTGGTCCAGTTTATGGTGGGGGTGGGCTGGAGAGGGGGCTTAGGAAGTAAGTTTGACTTATATTATAGATATATTAAGACAGCAAAATTTCGAAGACCTAACAAGTTCAGAATTTGTGATACATCAATATTGGCCTGAGCTAAAGTTTACCATCACCCAACCCGTGAAAAAGAAAATTTCCATTAGGGAAAACTGAGAGTTTAAGCAAGTTTGCAAGGGCAACACTAAAGAGACCAAGCGAGTTTCAAGCACCTTGGAAGCACGTGAGCAGCCAATGGTTGCCCTGTTATTTGTAAGTCCTTCCTACCTGTTATCCTTTAAAACATTCACAAATATGCATTCTTTCTAAATAGCAAAGTGGCCACTGATTTCTGTTCTTAAAACGAGTAAAGCTGCATGCCTTTCATATATTGAATAATCCAGATCAGCACTTCCTGTAAATTAGCCCGACCATGAGGTTTTTATGGACCATGAGGTGCAGGTTGTCCTGCGTCCTCCCAATCCGATAGCAGCATCATTTCTGGTACTTTCACATGTGGTGACCAAATCGAAGGCGTGACTTGCAATCCCCAGCGTGCTGGCCACATGCCGAGCGCTCAGACTTGGGGCTTCCGAGTCTGGGGCTGTGTAATGTCTATGCCTGGCCTGAGTCACTTCCTCCCAGGTGCTGCACATGAGAGAGATTTCGCCGCGACAGCCCCCAGCCCGTGGCCCTCGTTGGCTGTGCTGTTTTCACTTTTGCTGTATTGTACTGTGCCAAGGTAGCCTTTCTTTGTGTTGGGCTGCCTATGACTATGTGTGTGTGTTGGGGCTTAGAAAATGATACCCCTTGTCATGCTGAGTCCTTTGAACCAAAGGAGACGGGAAGGCCTCAGAAGCAGCCTCAGAAGCAGAGTCTCCCTCTGACTTCTCCTGCCCTGCGAGTCACAGAAACCAGCATTCGTCTTCCCCAAGGCTGATCGTAGACACCAGAACCCCCTCCAAAGCAGGCCATATAACCGTCACTCTCTCTCCCCTTTCTGTGCGAGAGCTGGCCGTAAAGACATTCTCTGACCTACCTTGTCTGATAGCACGTCACAGGGCCCTTGTTCCAGCGGGGTCCTGCCCTGTACCCAGGAGCGAGGAATGCCACAGGCAGGCCGAGAGGAATCTGAACCGACGGGCCCTGCTGGGCTTCCTCGCCCAGTCGCTCCCATCAGATCACACCCTCTCTGTCCAGTCAGGTTTCTACACGGCTGCCCCGTCCTTTATCACAACTAAGCGCAAGGATTGACAGTTTTTCTGGAGTCTTTGGGTCTTCGTTTTTGAAGGCTCCCTTAATCACACAAAGCTTTGATTCAATAAATTCACGATGCTTTTCTCTTGTTAAACTGTCTTTGGGGAGTGTGGGCTGCGACCCCTACGCTGGGGAGGAAGGGTCTCACCCCCTTTCCTCCCCTGTATATCCTACAGCAAGGACAGGGGATTCGATTTTTCTCTTATCCTTCTTCAGACACACATCAGTTGCAAAAGAAAAGCTTCAGATTCAAGCCCCCATGCGGGTGTGGACAAGTGGCAGTTCTCCTTCCTTCTCCCGCCCCTCCTTCCTCCCGCACTCACTCACTCTGTGCCAGGCACTGTTAAAGGCACAGAGATGAAGTGGAGAAAATTCCTGCCCTTCCAGAAGCGTCTGGGCTAAGGGGGACGGCTGATGAACGCACAAATAATTCTGAACGCAAACCAATGTCCTAGAGAGTTAGGTATACGCCTTCTGGGACAGAAGGGGACGGCAGCACCGTTGTTAGATGCTGCCATCCTCGGTCCCCTTGGCTGCCACGCTTCCGATCGCTGGGTCACGTTCCGAGGTCACCACATGGCCTCAGTAGTTTGGGCAGTCACAGCTGAGAAGGGCCAGGGCGGTGCTGGGAGTGGCCAGTACCTGACAGAGATGGAGAAGTCCCCTGGGGAGCTCTGGCTGGCCCGGATGATGAAGAAGCCAACCTCCTTGCCCATGAGTAAGTTCTCCGCCTGGTGCCGCGAGAGGCCTTCGTGAAACCATCTGTTGGGCAAGATAAAAGAAGAGGATCTGGGTGAGACACGTGCGGGGCAGGAAGGAGACACGGAGAACAGGTGACCCAAAGGGAGAGAGGTGGGGACTCTGTTCCATAGAGAGCAGAGAGAGACCAAAGAGGGCCCGGGCGCTTTTAAAAACCAAACCAATGCTCTGGGCAGTTCTCAGGAAAGGCAAGTGAGTTCCCCTTGATTCACTCTCTTTGTTCCTTCCCTCCGGGAGAAGTCACTCTCCGGCTGGGAAAACCTGAATCGTGGAAATGTGCCACTGCACCAAAATGGGGCAGTGTGGGAGTGGCTCGCTGGGGGAGCAGCCGCAGCTGCAGGAGGGGCAGAGAAGGGCTGCAGGGACAGAGGGGCACAGGGAGGGAAGGGGCAGCTTCGGGTGCTGGCAGTGGCCACTGGGCCGAGAGTGGCCACTCCTCCCCAGGGCATGAAAGGAGAGTTACCCTCCTGGGGGGTCTTGCCACCTGGGCTGGCGTGCTTTGCTCCGTGTGCCCGGCAGGGGCTCTGAGGCACCCGGGAGCCCTGCATACACTTGTCGAGATGAGTGGGGCTGGCAGCAGCCGGAGAGCAGTGTCTACACAGCAGCTGGGCCCTCCCCCAAAAATCCAGGATGGAAAATAATCTTTACTGTGCAAACAAACAAAACAACAGAGGAGAAACTGCTCTTCCAGGAGCGCAGTCAGGGTGGCAGCTTCTGGAAATATTGCTGCACACGGGGCGGCGTGCATGAAAAAGTCAAACGCTTACACAGGGCAAGGCAAACAGTGGCTGCAGGCTCAGGGCGGGAGGCCAGAAACCTCTTTCAACCACAGACAAGCAAAATGAGTGTTTGCAATCACTCAGTGGCCAAAGGTGGGACTGTGTCGCATTGCTTCAAGGTGGCTGCTCTAATTGCTGCCACCAGAAGGCTAGTATTCATGTCCCTTTAAGATAAATGCCCAACAGGCCTAGGCTTTGGGTTTCTTGGTGAGTAATTCCCTGTGCTTTCTAGAATTTGGGAACATGGATTCTGAGACAAGGGTAGCAGGAAAGATGTACTTATTCCAGACCTGGGACTGCAGGGGAAGGTTGGTTGTGCTTTGAGGGGGGTGAAAGCGGGGGTTCCTGGTGGCCTACGGTTCCTGCCAGGGTATTTGGCGCACAGCCCTACAGGCTGAGCAAGTGACCGCCACAGGATCGCCACGTGCAGGAAGATAAGTGAGATGGGAAGAGGAATGGGATGCACTCCGCAGTAGCCGTCCCGCAAAGGAAATATTTTAGAAGAGGCAACGGGCGGTTAGGGGAATTTAAAAAATAAACATTTTCCCTCCAACTGGAATTTGATAAGTGGCTTCTTTCAAGGTTTGCAAAAATTTCCACATACTATATATCAGACATGAGTGGCCAGGGGTTGAGTATCATTCCAAAGCTTTTCATTCATTCACTTAACAGCTTGATTGACCGTCTACTATCGTGCCTCTCTGGGCACCGGGGACACAGTGACGAGCACAAGAGACAAGCACCCAGCTCTCGGGGAACGTACGTTCTAGTTGGGTGGGGGGGTCACGCAATAAACAAAATAATCACAACATAAATGTGTCATGTGATGATGAGTGCTATGGAGAAAATGACAACAGAGAGGAGGGACCGGGAGTGGGGGTGGGAGAGTAATTTAAAATATGGTGACAACAAAGATGTCACTGAGAAGGGGATATTCTGAACCTAAGGAGACTGGAGAGGAGGAGGAACCTGCAGAGAGATGGGGAGGAGCCACCTTGGGAGGAAGGGTGTCCCCAAGCCCAGCGGAGAAAGTGTCCAGTGACTCGATGTGAGGCAGAAAGCCCCAGGTAAAGTCTGCTGAGAATGGGACCTGGGACCTGGGACCTGGGACCTGGGACCCGGGACCCGGGACCTGGGACCTGTGGCCCCTGGACAGGAAAGTCGGGCACCAGTAGGAGTAGGAAAAAGCGAATGCAGCCTTCTTTTGAAGAAATGGAATGTAGCTGGAAGGGGATTTGCGATCAAGCGGTTTTGTTTTGTTTTGTTTTTGGTAAGCTGGGAGAAATTACAGCATGTTTGTTTGCTGACGGGAATGACCCAGCAGAGAAGGAAAGAAAGCTAATGTGGGAAAGAAAGGGGAGAATTTCCGCTAGAAGCCACAGTTCCCTCCAAACAGCTGCAGGGAAGGCAGAGTCTGAGCGCAGTTGCAGGGGGGGGTGGTGGCGGGCGGATGTGGTAGGGGTGGGGGCGGGGGATGGGGAGCTTCTCGGGTGGCTTTCACTGTCCCAGAAAACCTAGAGGCAAAGCCAAGGGCTGAGAGTGAGGTGGGGGACAGGCAGGAGGTTTGAGGAGCAGGGAGGGCCGTGCAGCCTCCTAGCAGATTATTGGTAGCATCAAGGGCACAGTCAAGGTCAGTGTCATGCCACTGTCTCGTGGTCAGTACTGGTTCACCGTGAGTGCTGCTGTCGCACTCGCTGGAGTCACCAATACCACTTTGGTTTCCAAACAAACTTTTGCTCTTTGGGCTAGACCCCGGCTCTGAGACAAGATTAGATTTCTATCTAACCCTTGTGGTCAATTCTTAAGACACAGGAGACCCAATCTCAATTTTTCATTTCCTCTTTATGAAGGGAATTCCCCTTCCCCGCACTGACTTCTCTCTCTGGGGTGAGCGCGCTTTAAGGAAGGCAGAAAGTGTCCGTGCTGCCACCTGAGTAAGGGCGGAGAGCCTGGTTAGCTGCAAGGTGGGGCTGGGAGGTGATGGAGAGGTGCCTTGAAGTAGCAGCTCTTGAAGTGGGGTAGCTGATAGCGCCCCCTTTGCAATTCTTGGAAACCCTGCGATTGCAATCACTGTGGATGACTTGAGTTTATCCAAAAGTTAAACTTGTGGATAAACTTAAAAAGTAAGTTACTTTTTAACATTTAAAAGCTTACCTACTTTTTAACATTTAAAATGTGCAATACATGTACATGGTGTAAAATTCAAAAGGCAATGAAATAAAACGCGAAATCTCCCTCTTGCCCTGGCCTTCGATGTGTGGTTCTGGAGGCACGAGAGCTCCAGAGGAGCCGTGTTTGACGGCGGCCTAGGTACGCACAGGTAATTCTAGCGACTGCTGAAAGAGCGAGAGGAGTGTGTGTGGGTGGGGCCCGTCTCAGCAGGCTGCAAATACTTACTCAGGAAACTGGATGTCTATGAAATTCTTAGGCACATATCCTTCTTGGCTCCCAAGCTCCGCCTTGAACCACTCCTCCTGGTTACTTAAAATCTACACAGAGGAGAAGGAAGGACAAAAACACTGCAGAGATAATACCAAAAAGCAAGAGAAAGGGGCTGCAGGGGAAAGAAGGCCCTTTGGACTTAGAGGGAAATAAGCCAAAGGGGACCAAATAGCTGCCCTAGGACTTACCCCAGGCCCGGTTGGGGAGCAGTGGGCTTATCTTTGGAGTCTGGCTTCTCGTGACCCCAAGTTATTTCTGTCCCCTTGGGCCACCCAAGTCACCTTGGGTCACTCAAGTCACCCCACTGTGGCTTGGCCTCCCAGACTCAGCACTTGAGGACTTCCCTGGATTCCTTTCTCCTTCTATCTTAGAAATCCGTTTGTCCCAGATCTTAGCACCTTAAGTTCTTCTTCTGGGCAGATGGTGGGAAGGCAAGAATGGCTACTCCATGGTGGTTTTGTTTGTTTTTTTTTTCTCTTCCAGATAAGCAGGGAACTTTTAAAAAATTAATTTGTTTTTATTTTTTAAACAAGCAGATTAAAACTTAAACATCAAGTGAGGCCAGTGTTGGAAACAGTAACTGAGTGTGTTTCACCAGTCATTTGGATTGAACTCAAGGTACTTGGGTTGCCTTTTTTAATCTTGCTCTCAGAGCCAGATCAGAAACAAAACCAAAAGTTGTGTCCGGTTACTCTACGGTCGTACCTTGACTGTGACCCCATGTGTTATCACCTATCTTGATTACTCCTATTACTCACCAGCCTTGACGCTTTGTAGCTTCTCGTTATATCAGTAAATGAAATTCATTTTCATTAAAAGGCAAATGTTTGGCACCCCCAACTGAGAATGTTTCTATAGTCTGGGAAGCAGAGTTGAACAATAAATCCTAAATGAGGATGGCAGAGCGAATGATGGGAAAAGTCATTGGGCCACCGAATTAACCACCCGGGAGCCCTCCTGATTCTGGACTTTGAGAAATTACAAAGCTTTGTTATTGTTTAAGCCATTTTTAGTTTCTGTTTCTTGCAGCCGTAAGTCTCTGCACTGGTAGAAGTACGATGAGAAAGGGGAGAGCAGAAGTGGATAGGAAGGACTCCTTGGAGGACAGCGACCTGCCTGGCAGTGAAAGGAACTTCCTCTTTCTAGGATCCGAGGGGGGAACTGATGCCTATGTGGCTGGGGTTTTGGACTGTGGATCCAGAAGAAGAGACAAGGGAAGCCAGACAGACAGGCACACAGGGCCTTGTGGCCCAGGCGCGAGAGGTTGAATATTTATCTTGAAATTTATGAGCCATGGAAAGATTTGAGGCAGGGAAACAACAGTAAGAATTAGAGCTTGAAAGAGTTCTGTGTCAGAGTGTGAAGACAGATGAGGGGCAAAGTCGGGAGGGAAAACGGGGAGTCCAGTGTAGCCCTCCAGGGAAGAGACATGGGGCCTGGGGCTGGGAAGAGGTGAGGACAGATTTTAGAGGATCCAGGAAGCACAACAGGCAGGATGTCATGGCTATTCTCGGGAGCTAAGGGAGAAGGGATTTCTGGCTTGGCAGACTGCGTGGGTGGTGCTGCCCTTACAAAGTAGAAAGCACAGGAGGGGGCAGGGCGGGGAAAGACCCCTGGACTTCCCACGGCACTCGGAGGATTTGAGTTGAACTCTCAGCTGAGCAGGAAAGCTCAGGGAGCAGCTGGCTGTGTGAGTCTGCAGCCAGGAGGGAGGCTGGGGCTGGAGTTTGAAATTTCGGAATCATCCGAAAGTGGGTGGTGTTGAAGTCATGGGTCCTTTGGGTTTCTGTTCCCAGAAGAAAAGGATGGGAAAAGAAAGAGAACTAAGCACTGGAGAAGCGATGACGACCTATTTCTAACATCACTCCCAAGGTGGAGAGAAGACAGAGCTGCGGGAAGACCTGGTTTCTAGCTCGGTCCTTTTCACTGGCTGTGTGACCTTGGGCGAGTCAATTAGCCACTGGAAACACGGGACAATAATAACCACCTAGCGCCTCACGGAGCCGTGGCCAGGATCAAATGAGCCCTGGAACCTGAAAGCCCTTCAGAAAGTGTAGACTGTTTTTTTTTTTTTTTTTAAAAATAATTCCATCAAATGTGATATTCTTATGAGGGAGGACTGCGGCTCTGAAGGACATGGAAGGGTTTACAGCTTCTTTAAAGCATTATATGTGTATGTTTTGAATTTAATCATTTGTTCTGAAGAAATAAAAGTGTGTCCCATATTTGAGTTCGAGATTGCTGAGAACAGAAAACTTTATAGTTTCTGACATCAAATGCGACTGTTGGTATCACTGAGGGCGTGTGGGTATGTGTGTGCCCACGGGGGAAGGGGGAGGCCAAAAATCTAGGTCAAAGGAGCCGGGAAACTCTGCGGCAGCCACACAGAGAGCGCGAGGACAGTTCCCTCCAGCCAGCGCTCCTGCACTCAGGGCTTCAGGGTCCCTTTCTCCCGACAGGACACACGGACTGACCGTGGCGCCTGGCCAGGGTAGCCCGTGTCAAATGCGAAAGTGAGCAGGGATGAGGTGGAAGAGGCCACCTGGAAACTGGCCTGTCGCGGGAAGAGCCACACTCTGTGCTTTGTTCCCTGACCTGAAAGCAGCTGTAATTTTAGTAATCACGGCTCATATTCATCCACCTCCTCTAGACGCGGAAAGATTATCCCACAATGCCGGCCATTTCGCTCCACCACCTGCTGCCTGTTCTGCCGGAGATTGTGTTTCCTGAGAGGTGAATTTACAGGCTTGTGACGGGGTAGAGAAGGTGAGGTTTTTAAAAAGATCTCATTTTCTGTAAAGACAGGTATGGGGGCAGGGGAGAGGCGGTTTCCTCCTGCCGTTGTGGGCCCAGGCCCCGCACTTCCTGCCCCTCGGGTCTATCTCTCCATCTGTTCGGTCCCCCTATCTCCTGTACCCATCGTGCAAACCTGCGAGGAGTTCAGCCCGAACACTTGAAGTTTTACACTTAAATGTACTGTACCCTGATTCTTACAATGTTCCCTGAGAGAATAATTTTCTGGGTTACACGGCCTGAGAATAAGTTAGATGTGGGAAGAGAAGGACCAAAAGTACAGCTGGCAGGATTTTTAAATTGGATAGAATTATAGCTCCTAGAGGCATGGCAGAAGGATTGAAGAAGTTAATGACGTAGAATTAACTCTTAGTGCTTTTAGGTTGCTGTTTTAGTAGGAAGAAATGTGGGTGAGTTAGATGCATTATACAAGCAGATTGAAATGGACTGGGTCAAGAGACGTTTTTCAAAGCTACTGGCAAATTCGAAGGCAGATTCAAATGTTAGGTCTGCTGCCGTGTGTAGCTGCAGCCGCAGAGGTTTGTGGCATGAACAGAAAAAAATCTGATTTCTGACTTTTCACATATTTCTCTTGCAGGAGACGTGGGATCAAGTCATTTGGCAGGAGTTTCCCATCTACTGTCTTATTTACTGTTCCATGCAGCATCTAGTGAGCACCTGTTGTTTGCACTCAGGTGCTGGGAATGTGGAGATGAATAAGCCGGGCCTTTGCCCCGAGGAACTTGGGGACTGCTCAGGGTGGGTGGCTGGTGAGCTAGTCAGATATTTTTTTGTGCCTTTCTAATGAAGGAGTCTGTTGAGTCGTTAGCACTAAAGACCAAACAAGAGACAGAACATCCCGGAAGTGATTTGCTGGAGCAGTGAAGAGCTGGCTTTGGAAATAATTGTGAGGATCCTGGGTGTGTCACCCCCGTCTAGAGGGGAGGGCAGACATTGCAGTCACATGTGGGAGCCCCAGACACGGGCACCGACCACCGTCCCCCAGACATCTGGGAGGCTCAGGCAATAAGCCCTCTCCATTTTTCTCTTTATCACTACGGCTGAACTGGACAGAACTTGAAGAGAGGGAGGGGGTTGGCTTTTGGATGGAATTCTAAATGAGCATGCAGAAATGCAATTTTGCAATTCAAGAAAACAAGTACTGGGCACCTATTTGGGCTGTGAATTGTGTTAGATGCTGTGAAGATACAGAATAATCCAGCACGGTCTTGCTCTCAGGGAGCTCACCAGGGGAGGAATTGACAGTTCATTCATTCATCAAATATCAGGGAGTTCTAGACACCACTGTTCTAGACACTGAGGCAGACACAGCCCCACCCCTGCAGAGCTGTGGCCGGTGGAGTAGTCAACACACAAACCGGCAGTTAGGAGCCCACCGGGTACGGGCGGCAGTGAGGGCTGGAAGAGGAGGTGTGAGACCATGGGGTCACGCACGCCCATACACAACTGTCACGGAGGCAAGGCCATCCGTGCCTGGAAACCAGTGAGGTGTGTGTTGGATGCTGGGGAAGAGGTGAAGAGGGAGGGGTTCATGTTTCTGGGGTGGGCGGAGGGTGGGCGGCAGGGAGGGTCAGCGAGGGTTCCATGGCAGAGGTGGTCGAAGGCCTGTGCAGAGAAGGGCCCTTGGAGTATGGATGGTGGAGAACCTGAGAGAGGCGTGTGTGCACTGCATTGTGAGCTGGGGCATTGCGTCCTCAGAGATGTGTGTGCGGGTGTGTGTGCGTGTGCGTGTGTGTGTGTGTGCGTGCGCATGTGTGTAGGCTGGGATCGAAACTCAGTTCTATCTGGCTCCAAAGTCTGTGCTCCTCTTTACTGTGACACTCTCCTTTCTAGTGAAGAAGGGACCTGCTTGAGAGATACCATGAAAGGAGAATATTCAGAGCCGAGTACAGGGCTCAGAGTCAGACAGAGCTCTGTCTGGATCCTGGCTCGGTCACATTCTAGCCGTGGGACTTTGGACACGTGATTTAACCCCCCATTTGTAAAATGGAGAAAAAACTAGTGCCTGCCCACAGATCTGCTGAGATGGGGAAATAGCGCTGCAGACCACTTAGCCACATCCCGGCCGACAGGAGGAGCTCAGGCGATCTTGGTGACTGATCACCGGGCGTTGGCAAGGGAGGTGCTGATGGGAACGGAGGCTTGCAGCCTGGCCCGCGACCCGTGCCAGTGCTTAGAACGTGGCTGGGGAGTAGATTGGGCAGAAGTAGGGGCGAGGTGGGTGTGGGGATTTGAGTGCTTCTGGACTTCACGAGTTAGGAGCTGGCATCTGTGCGGTAACATCCGGCAGACAATCGGCAGCGCGGTTCTGGAGTGAGAGAGAGGTCAGAACCAGAGCGAGAGCCACACACTCGAGGGTCTTTGGCCCAGAAATGAGAGTTGAAGCCAGAGCAGGGGGTGAGATGGCTCAGAGTGAGGAGAAAAACCAGGAAGCTCAGGGCAGAACCCTCATATATTTCAAGCCAGAAAGAGAGGAAACGGGGCATTTAAAAATGACACCCCCTGGGAGTGCCCAGGAAGGGAGAAGAACCAAGAGAGGGTGGCACTGGGGAGGCAAGGCGGGAAGAGCTTCCAGGGAGGCAGGGTGAGGAAGGCCTCGGGCTGCAGGGGCTCCCCCAGGCCGTTGCATGGCACATTAAGGAGAGCACTGGTGGACTTCAGGAGAGAGTTGGGGGTGCAAGGTCGACTCCAGAGAGTCGCAGAATGAATGGGAAATGAGGAAGTGGAGAGCTTCTGGTGCAGAGAATTCTTCCCAGTATTGGCCACAAAGAAGAGGGAAGACATTAGGAGCTGGTAAGCAGAGTTGAAGAAAGGTTTTTTTTTTTTTTAATGTTTCTGGGGGAACAGAGAAAACTTGAGCAAGATATTAGGTTCTCTTGCAATGGAAGATAAGGGTGGGAGTTGGCCCGAGGATGCTCTAGAGGGGTTGACAATCACATGGTGACAATACCCCGTAGAGAAGGGAGGAACTTCTCACTGCGGCAAGTCCCTCCAGGACGCTGCTAGATCAAAGCAGTAAAGGCCGCCTTTTCCTGGGTCAGCAGCCCAAACAATATTTTAAGCTTGTGAAGGCCTACGCTTTGCCACCACTATTCCTAGAGCTCGCAAGCTGAGAGCAGTTAGAAGGCTACACACTGGGCATGTTCGAATTCCAAAAGAAGCCGTTCCATGTGTTTTGTGGTCAGTGGACACTTTCCAAGTCACCCTCTCACATGCTGAGAAGGTTCTCTCTGGCAAGCAAGATTCCCGGTGGTGAGACCATGCTGGCCATGTGGGCTGCTGAGGACCAGGGAGGGGGCTGCCTAAGGGTGCTCTGAGGTCAGGCAGGGGGCCATTGGCTTCACATAATTCCAAATGGCCTCTTGAAGGGCTTGTGCTCTTTTGCAAAAAACAAGGGTTAAGAGTCTGTAAGTGTGGTGTGTCAAATGTGGGAGAAGTCCAAGGCCACTTCAGCTCAGCAAGTGGCCACTACAACTGAAGTGTGGGCTGAGGACAAGTTATAAGAAGCCCCTGAGTGGCCAGGTGTGCGTGGCCTTTGTCAAGCCACATCCCTTCCGGCTCCTTTCCCACACCCTCGTCTCCTAAGTTCCAGCCATGCGGACCCGGCAGTGCTCTCTGAATTCAGCATGCGCTTGCACAACTCTGAGCTTTCCGTTAAAAGCCCATGTTGTACACATGCCTGCAACCCTCCATCTTTCAAGGTGGCATCATTTGTTCCATCACCTGTGCTCTTTGAGCACTGAGCCAAGAGCAGCATCTGTAACAGCCCTTTGGATGGATGTGTTTCCCCGTCCAGACCACGAGCTTCTCAGGGTGAGGATGGCGGCCTATGCCGACTCCATTTCCATCACCTGGCCTGGTGTCTGGCACACAGGTGCATGGAAGGAACCCTTTGTTTAGAGGTGAACTTCTCTTTTTAAAAGGAACTGAGTGCAGTTCTTAGGAGACAAAGGCATGATTGTTAGGTTACTTTGGTGGCCAGACTCAATAACCCAAACTCTCTACTGCTCCCCCGGGGCCCCACGGCACCTACCTTCAGGACATCTCCAGTGTGAAAGCTCAGTTCGTCCTCACCCGAGGCAGTGAAATCAAACTTGGCGACAGCTTCCATGTTGTCACGTGAAGCTGGAGGAGAAATAATGTGGTCATTGTGCCTGCCTCCCAGGAGGAGGGCAGCAGAGCCACGGTGCTGCCTTGCAGTCTTAGCGGCTCATCGGAGAGTGGTCGGATGACTGTTCCCAGGCCGGAGAGCAAGACTCGGGCGTGCTGAGGTGGCTTGTGTTTGCCGGAAGAGCTGCTGGAGTCCTTAGCATCTGGGTCCCAGGATCATTCTCTGAATCCCCAGATGCTAGGAGCAGGAAGTGAAAGCCAGCGACAGCCTCTCCCCTCTCTTTTCTTCTCCCCGTGCTGGTCCTGGCCTGACACCACTTCTGGGGGCATCTGTTTCCAGCTGATAAGGACGGAAGGCTTGCTATCATCTGTAATGTGAGGCCCAAGGGGCTGCAAAGACTATTCTGTAAACACTGTCCCGAGTCTATCCCTTGGCAGCTATATTTAACCAGGCAGTGTTAATTAGACAGATGCCATTTCCTCTTTTACATCTGAATCATTTAAGAGAATTAGACAGCATTAGCCATTGGGGAACTCAGCTTCCTTCTGCATGGTTTGAGAGCAGAAAGCATTTTGGTCTGAGAGTTGGGAGACTTGATTAGTCAGATTATTTATTTTACTATTAGAGTGTAAACCAAGTACACTTTGGAAACTTTGATTTTAATAGTTTTGAATTGAGTTAAAATACTAGCCCCCTCCTCATAACCTGTGTAAAGGTAAATGAGTCAGCCCACATTTGACATTGAGTAGGAAATACAGTGTTGTTTTTTTTTTTTTTAGGAGATAGTCAGGATGGAATAGTAAGAAAGCTAGCTTAAATCCTAGCTCTCTTGGTAAATATCTATATAATCTTAGGCAAGTAATTAAGACTCTCGAAGTCTCAGTTTCCTCATCTGTAAAATGGAGATCATAATATTCAGCTAATAAAATTGTGAGATTAAATTAGATAATAGATACAAAGCATTATACAAGATAAAGCTAAATAGTATTTATGTTTTAAAGTTACTTTATGGAATGAATTTTTCTCCCAGCAAAGGTAGCCTGAAACACACAAGTTTTCTTCTGAGCCTCTCATCTCCTATAAACGTTTCTTATTGAAATTGGACGCTTAGTCTCCGTGACTATCAACCCCCGTGACTCTTTGCTGAGACAGCTCACTCTCAGGACAATCTTGAAAGCTCTTGTTTGGCATTTATGTTTTTCAAAGTTTCTCTAGGTCTGAAACCCTTTGGGTTAGTTTATCAGGATCCTCAAGCCTAATGGACTTTCAGAGACCAGGAAACTGGGACTACAATTGTCCTCTCAGTGGGAATTTCTGCTCAAGTTGACAGGATTTGGGTAAATAAGGAAGGTGCTGCCAGTGGGCACGCACAGCACTGGAGACCCGAGGATTACGGCCACCTGCAAGGCGCTCATTTCTCTGATCCTCCACATGTGCTTGGTCTTCCAAAGTAATTCAAAGAGGTGAATATTACCCATCCAAAGGTAGATATTAAGCAAAAAATAGCTTAGGAGCCAAAGTAAAATGTCATAGTTAACTCTCCTAGCTTTATCACCAGGCAAAACTGATTTCCAAACACCACCACCACAAATACACTTTTTGCACACTTTCTTCAAGATCTGCCCATCTAAGGCAAATTAAAATTTCTGTGACCTAGGATGTCCTGCTTGAGAGGAAGGAGTATTCTGCCCTCCTTAGCTAGTGCTAAATGCCTTTGCCGATTTCATTCACCCCATTACTTTAACATGCAAGGCTTCTCCTAATTAAGGACTTGCCTCTAGTTTGCAGGGAGACCTGGCTTTTGTGGGTCATCCTCATGGTATCAACAGTAGACACTGGTCATCTCAAGGGATCAAGTGTCAGGTGAACGGTCCTGAAAACCAAGATCCCATTTCTATGCAAATTTACCTTAATAAGCAGGACAGAGACAAGGGGAGGGCAAATGCTAAATATATTAGAAAGTTACATAAATTAGAGAGGAAAAAATATCCAAGGCATGCTCTAGATATGACCTTGGTTTAGGGAAGATCTTCCCAACATGACAGGTAGCTCAGCTCAGGCCTGGGCGCTATGTCCGGTGAGGTGGCCAAAGCAGAAGTAAAATTGCTTCTGAATAGAGGCACTTTCCTCTGCCTTGCCCAGGAGGCAGGCGGTGTGGCCGAGCCAGCGACACAGGCATATCACAGAGCTCCCAGCTTATGGTATTAATCCTGGCTCAAAAAACCCAATTAAACAGGCCCACTTTTCATGAAATCGCTTGGAAAAAATTTGTTTGCTCCCATTTCCATTTGTGAAATGAAATCTGCTCGGGCAGCTGTTTATTTAGGGTGGGGTGGGTTATGTTCTCTTTTCATTCCAATCACAGGGCTTTGAAAACTCTTCCCTTGAAACACCCTAATAGCAGAGAGTGGTAAAAATGCCACCCTCAGGGGTCGCTCTTCTGTTTGATCATCAAAACGCACAGAACTCTATATCCTGTTTCTCTATATCCATTAGTGGCTAATTTTGAAAAGTTTTAAAATTACCACCAGGGAAAAGGAGACCTGAACTAATATAGTTTATTCAGTATTTATCCACTTGTTTTATAAGCTGTACCTGCTTGTAAAACAACAGACTGCATCTGGGAAACAAAAAAATATGATGGCGATAAAAACCAGGTAGCAGCAATTCAGAGAGAGGGAGAGAGAGTTGTGGGGGGAGAGAGAGGGAAGGTGCAACAGCCTGAATTCAAGAGTGCAATGGAGCCTTCTTGCTACTGCTTGCAATTTCCGTGCTTCTGGCCTCTGGGGGAGATGAAGAGAGAGACCTTCTTCAGAGAACCTCACAGATGGATTCAATGTGTTTTCCTGCTGGCAATGGGCTTTAGAAATGGCTGCAATGCTACCTGCCACACAGCTTGAGAAGCTGCAGCCTCCAGGGTCAGCCAAGCCGCCCCCAGCAGCCCGCCCCGACCCTGCCAGGCCGTGGATGCTGCCCGTTGTCGGGCCCCAGTGCCTGCTCTGCTTCTCACCAGCCCTCTGCGGCTCTCTCACTTCCCCCCCTTATGAGTTGCACGAAATATCCATTAGCAACCTGGCGACACAGATCTGCTTCACCACAGGGTAATGCCACACAGGATTTTCTCGTGCCGACATGATTTTCTCTGCCCTTGCATTTCCGTGTAAGCTGCTTTCACCACCAAAAAGCCTGAAAAAATATTCAGGCTATATAACAAGAATGCTTGTCTACTTCTGAAATACAGTCGCCATAGAGGCGGGAAACAGAAGCCATGAGACAGCTCTTTAACTTCCATCTGAAAGCCAGATTATAAGTGGATTTGTTCATAAATGCGTAGTTACCATCAAAATGGTACCAGGCAAGAAACTTCTTGAACAATTTCAGCTCCTCCTAAGTTGGCTATGAATAGCCAAGGTTTCCATTTTATGTATCTCTCAGAAAGAGCAATTGCATAACACCACAAAGCTACGCGGAGTTTCAGGCTCAGGACCTCAACGACAGAGGGAGACGGGTCCTAAATTGATATCACTTCCTATTTTGCTGGGGAGAGCTCTGATTTGAATACTTGCCCCAGTTTATATTGCAATGCAGATAAGATAATATCTTGAGATTTAAAAAAAGAGAGCAACATTGCTTTTTATAAGTATCCCTGTAGCATATTCCTATTTCATACAGTGGAGCTTAGCTGTCATCATTTTCCCCTGGCAGCATGCAGTTTTTTACTTCTGGACATTAGCAACAATTTTTATTAGTTTATCCTGCATATGAACTGAAGTAAGAGAATAGTGAGAATGGTTTGCATTTGAGGACTTTGGCTGCAGCTACCAAGAGGAGCTTAGCAAAAGATGTAAAATATACCAGCTGCCTAACGTCACCTAATTCAGAGACTTAGACTCCACAGCCTTTCTGTTCTTTCTGTGCGACAGGTAAAGCCTCTCCGGAGACAATAAGGGAATGTGTTTCCCCCTCCCATCGAATTGACAAGGTCAGTTCAATTACTTTCCAGAAGTAGGAAACCTCACACTGCCAGGGAAAAATGATTATGGCTAAGCTCCATTGTATGAAATAGGAATATTCTTGAAAAGTTATTATGAATAGAGTATTTGTAAATGGAATCATATTAGCATGTATTATGGAGGCTCACTCTATAAAGGAACCCTGTCGTGAATCGCTTTATAAAATGAAAGGAAAATTTGTTATGCAAATAACTGCCTTTTAATTTATCTGTTTTAAAGTCTGGATTTTCATGCATTGAGTCTTAAAACAGAGCACACCTGTATGTCCCCTTTAGCTCTGCATACTGTGGACCAGATGAATATTTACTGCTTCTATTCTCAACTCCTAAAGCATGTTAAAGAAAAACCTCTCCTATTGATATAGAACATTCCATCTTGGAATATAGACCAGGCATCATCAAACCTTTTCTGTGCAGGGCCAGAGAGAAAGGACTTTGGGTGTTTTAGGCTGACCAGCCTCTGTCACAACTACTCAACTGTGCTGTTGGAGCCAGGAAGGCAGCCTTAGATGATAGTGATTGAATAGGTGTAGCAGTGTTCCAATAAAACTTTATTTGTAGGCACAGAATCTGAATTTCATAGCATTTTTACATGTCAAGAAGTGCTGTAATTCTTTTGATTTTTTTCCCCAGTGATTTAAAATTGTAAAGCTTATCTTGGCTCAAGAGCAAAATCACAGTGAAGGGCTGAATGAGGCCCACTGGCTGTAGTTGGTCAAACACTGAGATACACATTTACATCTATACCCTATCTTCTCCAATAATTTGTAAACTTCTCGAGGGGAAAGGCTGTGGTTTAGTGGACAGGGTGTGGGCTTAGATGGAGGTGGACCTGGATCTGAATCTAAAATGTGCCACTTACTTCCTGAGTGTCCTGTTTCCTCATCTGTAAGATTAGAGTAACCACAGTTACTTCGTGGGGTTGTTGGGCATTAATGTGTAGACTGACACATAGCAGGTGTCCAGTCAATGGTAATCATTGTCATTTATTCCTAGAGTCTG